TTTTTTTTTACCTCTATAGTATGTTCAACTGGATTTTCATGTTGATTTGCATAAGATCTGTCTGTTCTTGGAAGCCTTTCAGCTGTTCTGCTTTCCAATTGTCCAGTAGTTCTCTCTTAGTCCATCTCTTCCTAAAAGCTCAAAGTGGCCTTTAGGAGAAACAGAGACACTCCGATATAATATTTCACACACATGGATGAGTAAAGGTTAAATATATCTTCCACCAGGATCCATTGAGCATGTTCACATGACTATCAACCTAAACAGAATGGAAGTGTTTTCTGCATGGATTTGTACAATGCTGTCTTGTTTCTTTCTTGTTTTCCCCAACTCGGCACTTTTGGGTGAATCTGTCAGCACTGGTGAGGACTGTTCAGAAATCGTCTTTTTGTGTGTTTATTAAACAAAGTAAAGAATGAAAAAAGTGTGTATGTGAAATGACATCTGAAGCTTGTGGCATGGAAAAATGTTGCTCTTGTTAGACCAGTGCTTTTTCTGGATATTGACTGCTGTGTTTTGATTTTGTTGTTGTTGTTCTGCATAGAGAGAAGTTATTTTATAAAGGCACATTGAGCACAAAATTGTATAAATATGACCGCTGAGGAAATGATTTATTGATTGTGTATATTTTTACCTTGTCTGTCCTATTCCCTGCGTTCAGATGCCCAGTGTGGTGGAACTATCAACTGTATTGTGCTCAGGCTGTTCTTAGCATTTCCTTGCAAATTCATGAAGCCTTGTCTTGCTCAAGTATTGCACCCTTTACCAGTCAAACACATCTTCAAAGTTTTAGGATGTGCTTGCAGTATTGTTTTGCATTTCCCTTTTCCAGAATTCTTGAAGTATTAAGAATTGTAAAAACAAAAATGACTTTGCTCCAACATAAAGAATTAGAAATCTAGTTATGATTGTTTTGATTATTAAAACTGATAGTTTTACTAGGAATAGCTCACTCTAAAATGAAAATTGTAATAATTTTCTCACCCTCATGTCTTTCCAAACCTGTATTGTATTACTTTCTTTATTCCACAAAAGAAGATATTAAGTGGAATGTCCAAGCTGTACTTTCCCATACAGTGAATGTGAATAGAGACCAGGAATTCACTTTCATCCTATTGAAAATAATATCAAGGTCATCCTGCTATAAATATAAAGTGATACAGGTTTGGAATGACATGAGGGTGAAAAAAGAAATGAACAGAATATTAATTCATGGGTAAATTATTCCTTTAAATCTTTCAGTCACTTTAAAACAGTAACTGGAACAGAATTTGGAATGGTGTCCAAAGTGTTAAAAAAA